CCCGAGCCGTTCTGCATTCAGGAAATAAGAGGAAAAATTTACAGACATCTAGCTGTAAACGGCTCACAAGCAATCTCATCTATCGAGTATTGATCTTTCGTCAATAGCTGTGGGTGTGTATCCACTGTTTGTACATACGTAGGCGATAGTAAGAAATCAACTTGCGGCACGTTTCTCTCCCGTGTCCCACCTCCCGACGTATGAAGTCTAATGGAAAGAAAGCAAAAGCCGAATACTCATCGTTTCCCTCTCTCTATTTTCTCTCCTCTCGCCCATTCCAATTACCTCTGTCCCTCTTACTTTCAATTCTCTTGCAATTCAAGCCCCACCGGGACAATCCACCATACCCAATACTCGCTCTTTTGGCCTTCCATCTCTGTTTATCCCATCTTACTTCTCTGCTTTTGATTAGAGAAACGCCAGAGCTGCATTCTTACCGGCGACTCTGAACAATTCGATGTGATAAAAAAAGACCGAGAGGCTCTCGGGAGAAAAGAGAAACGCGGTTGACGCGCTTGGTCGTATTATTGCTCGGGGGTTTCCAAAGACCCTTTCTGCTGGATCGGTAGAAAGAACTGGGGATAGGGTGGAGAGAATTGTCAATTAGATAACGTTGAAGGGTTCTAATAATGATGGAGGAGATGCCAGTGCTTTAAACAATGTTTTTTTTTCCTTGCACTGAGAGAAAAATATAATTCTTCTGACTATATTCCATCGCCATCGAATTATAGTCAAAAAGTCCTCAACAATTTTTTATGGGTTACGGTAACTATGGCCGGAGAAGTTATTAGTACAATGGAATGTAGTCATTGCAAATATTTTATAGTTCTACTCACGATAGATTTGTCGTGGTTACTTTTGAACTTTGGTTAGTTTAACTGCATTTTGATTTCACAATCAAAGACATTTTTACGACCGGTATATTCAACATCTATATTATCCCCTATCCCCGCTATTATTCTACTCGGTCAACCTTAGATGTTTTTTAAGGCATAAATTACATGGAAAGCGGGATGCTATATGCTATCCATCGACTCTCCGGACCTCTATACGAGGGAAATAATTGAATAATTATCAATGCACAAATTAAAAAATTCGGAGGCACACGGGCTCCAACACAAGTGGGGTATGATCCCACATCTCCTGTTTGCCGGACAGGTGCTCTGGCAATTGAAGTGGGCTGGATTACCCGGAAAGTCGATGGATAGCATATAGCATCCCGCTTTCCATGTAATTTATGCTTTTAAAAACATCTAAGGTTGACCGAGTAGAATAGCCCAGGGGATAATATAGATGTTGCATTTTGATTTGCAAAAATTAGG